AAACAATCTGCAAATTTCATTAAAATTTAATAAACTATCATCTTGTCTTTATTTTTAGTTAGCACATACCTTAAACACTTCTCCTCTTTGCATTTTTTTCTTCAATTTTTGAAAACATGAAGCATGTTTCACATAAATGCACATAAACGGACTGTTTTCTACTCTCACTGCTCAAAGCACTTTAAACAACTCGCCTCGTTGACTCACATCAACACTGTGGTTAAGTTCTCCTTTTTTCAGTTGAGGCAGCCGTCAAAAATTAAACCCGTCCTGTTGAGACTCTGATCTGAGCATTTACTGCAATTCATTGGCTTCCATTAAGTTTTGAATCCATTTTAAAATTCTTGTATTTGTTTTTAAGTCTTAATGGTCTCGCCTGAGCTGCTTCACCCTTACGTGCCGTCTCATGCTCTCAGATCAGCTAGCCAGGCGCTTTTGACTATCCCGGAGACATTTTAGAAATCCCGAGGAGACCGAGTCTTTGCAGCTTTGTCTCCCAAAATGTGGAATGAGCTTCCTCTGGAGCTCAGGCAGGCTCCATCCCTCGCTGCTTTTAAAGCTCATTTAAAAACACACGTTTCCTCCTCGGCCTTTAGCCCGTGTGAGTTGTCATCTGTGTTTTTGCCCTGTGTACCGATTTATTCTTTTGTTCTCTTATTTTGGTACAGCACGTTGATCAGCTGTTATGTTGTTTTTGCAGGCTGGAGCAGCCAGGGATCAAACCACCGACCCTCCGATTAGTGGACGACCTGCTCGACTCCTGAGCTACAGCCACCCCAAATCAATCAATCAATCAATCAATCAATCCTCAGTTCCACTTCTGACATCTCCTTGTAGTGGAAGAGTAACTAAAGCTGTTCCCAAATTACATAATTAAAGTTTTTGTGAATAAAGCAGGAGAAAAAAGGAAACTGTGCAGCTGTCAGCATCATTCTGATACGCTCGCTATCATTAACAACAGGTCGTCTATTTTCAGCTGTAGTCCTGCAGGGATGTTTTCCCATAACAAGGACAGCATGTAACCAGTTTCTCCAGTGTGT